AGACTTTCTAACTTAACATATGGACAGATATATCATTTTAGTAACATATAGATTTGGTAAACCAATATTAGCTCAAAATAAAATTAGTGAAAAACGTATGTTGGTGGTAAGCATCTTAGTAATCTCGTATTGTCGTTTCATAATTTTATAAAAAACTAATGTTTTAAGTTGTGTGTATTTTTTCGGCTGTGTATAAACAATTCTTATTTACCGCACTAAAAATTCATAATATAATCGTCATAATACACAGGGCACATATATTGAATTTAAACAAAACTTTTTAACGGTTTAAAACTACTTCTTTACACATTATATTAATTACAGCCCGTACGTTTCGGGCTTTACACCGTTCGGGTTTTAAGCCCTTATAAGAGCTTTAATTAAATATGTATGTTAACTTTTTTCTTCTTGTAAATGATGAAATTTAAACATTTACAGTACAGTAGATGTTTGTTTTAATGATAGGGGTGAATAGGCAAGCGTAGGATTCACATGTGCTGTCGACTTATTTTGCCTTGGATATTCGGAAACATATACAGATGTAACATAGTAATATATATTCATTAGACATAAAACGTTAATATAGCGTGAATTTATTTATTTCTTTAATTCTTCATTGCAACACACACAAATACAAAGTATTATTCTCACCAGTTATGGAGTGCAATGGGCGGCCTTATCGCTATAGAGCGATCTCTTCCAGGCTACCCTTGAGTAAAATGATTAATATTTGGTTTATTAAGTAAGGATAATTTGTACAGTAAATGTGTTAATATGCATATAAATTACATAGACTCAGTCAACATTACCTGATATTATATTCGCCTTAACTTTCCTCCCTCTGGTATTTCGTTTTATACTACATGTTAACCTCTCAATTGCTTTGAGTATCTTCTCACTGACTTTGTTAATAGTTCGTCGCTTCGGATCGGTATATTTCGTTCGGAAGCCATTTACGGTTTTCTCACAACCGGAATCTGCGCTCTCCTCTGTCTCAGAACTAGATCCCTCGGAATGAAAAATGTACGGACTACTCGCAAAACAAGGGGAATTCATATTTTAACTGTTCACTTGGTAAATTTAAATCTGCTTGATGATTAAATATAAAGTATTGAGCACAAGGCCGACAAGGAAACACTGATGAAGATTTCTTTTGTTTTATCCAGGTAGTCTTCAGACCGTGAAACCACTCCTCCAGCCGATCCTAAGACCTTGGAGCCGTCGAGGATCATTTGCATCATTCGTAATTATTGTCTATTTAAAAACGGCATGAGAAGAGTATATAGGTTTTTATAATAAGAAGCTGTTAGCCAATACATGTTTGTTTTTCGTATTTCCTCTTTTACCTTAAAGGGACTGTTACGATGTTATATTATTTATACGTTATTACGTATATTCTTACTATATTTTTAATTACTATTGTGACCGAAATACACGTTGTGATCAAAAAACATAATTATTGCATTTGCAAGAGATTGAAACTGCCAAACTAAGCTACAGACTATGTATATAACATATAAAACAGTTTACTAAAACTATAACAGTTCAATTCGAAAGTTTTATTTAATGCCCCTAGCAGGACCTCAGTTATTTTTTTGTATTGATCATTTGTATTATTATAGTTTACAACAATTTAAAATGTTACAGTTAAAAACGCGAAATATATAAGTTAAGCGTACAATTTATTTTACAAAGCAGCCTCTAAAAGGTCGCGCCGTAGTTAAAATTGTAAATAAGTTCAACTAATACAATTCGCGTTTTAAACCGTTAAAAGTGTTTTATTTAAATTTGTACTACTCACGTTAAGTGTAGTCAGTAATTATGTAACAACGCCTTAAACTGTTATCATATAAAAGATAATAGAGTGTAGACATAATATATTGCAAATATTAGTGTTATTTGTAATAGATGATAGTAGTAACACATTGCTGACGCATCCGGTACTATTTACAATCACAGCATGCATTTGAAGATCTGCCAAATTCTGGAGATAAGAAAAGTGGTGAGCAAAGTCTCTTTATTTCCAGAACAAATGTAGCAGACATTACACTTTTGAACCGACTCTGACCTACTAACACAATATAGCCCAGAAGAACACAAATGTTAGTAATCAGTGGCTTGATAAATCTATACTAATATATAAAGCTGAAGAGTTTGTTTGTTTGAACACGTTAACCTCAGGAACTACTGGTTCGAATTGAAAAAATCTTTTGATGTTGGTAATAGCTTGTATGGACGAAAATAAATACGAGGACGTGGACAACGGTGCGACGTAAAGGAGCAAATACTTGTAGGAAGGGGGAATATTCACCTTGAAAGGTTTCCGCTTCGTACGCTACGAAAACGGTTGAAGATACCCAAAAAATATGTATCAAGTTTACAAAAATGGCGAAAACATATTATGATGCTCAAAGTAACTAAAGTCACTGACACAGCTAGTAGTAGATATTTTAATTCATTTAAATAGTTGATGTGTTCATAAAAACACAGATTAGCAGTTCACAAATGCGATCAAATACTTGGCTGTCAATAAAACAGTGTTACAGAAATATGTTCGCCCCATACCCCTCTTACTAATATTTAATAACCGGAATGTAACTCAAAATTAATCAAATGCCAATTAGAGTACCATAAACAAGGACCGTTGTTTAGCATTTCATTTAAACATAAATAAATGAAATGCTGTGTTGTTTATGCTAAAAGTTATTTGAATATCCATTATCCTTTTTCACCGCGAACTGAAAGCGAAAGGGACCGTATTAACGCAAAATATATTTATTGAAATTAAAACGGATTAGGGGAATAATTTCCTAGTGAAAATGTAGTTTTCTATCTCGCTGTAGCGTTTGTATTTATCCGTAGGATTAAACATTCATTGGACTTTGATAGCAATTCAATTTAGTACAACGAATTTTAATATGTAGTATTACTAGCCTGTGTCCGCGACTTTGTCCGCGCGAATAGTAATTTTGCAACTAAATTTATTTTTGGAAATCCTTCACCTTTATAACTTAACTATTATCGACACACAACTCCCATTTCGTCCAATTAATTTAAAAGAAAGGCATGTGTCCCGGAATTTTTTTAGATAATTTAAAGAGGTCATTCTTTCGTAATATTTTTTGAGTATCTTGTTCTGTTTTCGCAGAGATGAACAAGTTCCATTTTTTCCACTTTTCCCGCTCCTTCTTCGGTCCTATTTCATATCACAGCGCAATGTTTCATAGCCTAAACTTGATAAATAAAACTCTAACTAACGCAAAAAGAATTTTACAATTCGAACCGGTAGTTCCCAAGATTAGTGCGTTCAAACAAACAAACTCTTTAGCTTTATATATGAGTATAGATATAGATCAACGCCTATTGTTTTATTAGTACAAAAAGAAGCTACATGCTTTTAAATGTTTAATTAGTGACAAAGTTTGTACTGAAAATTGGCCGCCTCGTATTTATTAGAATACGTCATCGAACGTAAAGTTGGAGTTACGTCCCAATATAGGCAAAAGTACTTGGCTTTACTCTGATTTGTTAAGGGAAACGTGAAGTTGGGAAATAATAATTTTAAACAAATTAGTTTAATTAAATGTTTAAACATAAGATGTGATATCTTAAGCGTGGTAAAAGTATTTTAATACTTAATTAGGAGAGTAGTATTATGATTATTTAATGTTTAACGAACGCGAAATATATTCGTTAATTGGGGCACTGAAGATGAGAGGGTGTCCCTTCATTTGAGAACCCCACGACTGCTGCAAAGCAACCAAAACCTCCATGTCAGGTCATAGTCAAAATAAATTAAAACGAAATGATCTCTTATATTGCGCGGTTTTTAAACCATTAACATTATTTTATTTAAATGTGTTCTATTCACGTAAACTACAGACCTTACTGGTGTTATATTATTTTTTTCTAATAATATTTTTTAATCCCGCAGCAAACGAAGAAAATTAGAACTGCCTAAAGATACTTGCTGCTGCTTAGATGTGTATTCCTGTAATTTTTTACTAAATAGTTTTCGTTATTTCAAGGATAGCCTGAGGTAGCAAGCAACCTCATGCATTTTCATACGATATTATGAGGGTTTTAACTTTTACAAAACAAGTTTCGTAATCACAGTCGCGTCGAGACCTCTCCACCGCGAAACATTTCAGCTTGGTGACTTAGTCGTTTCTAAGAGGTTTAAGTAAGTACTGTTCGGGACGTACTTTATAAAGGTTCATTGGGTTTTAAATAATCTTAAAGAAAAATAAAAATATGGTATTTTTTCATATTATGTTAGAATTCGTAAGTTTTTAATGATAGAGGTGGACAGGCAAGCACGTTGTTCACTTGATGGGAGGTGAATTTGACTTTATTATTGTTTACATGTTATTGAAGCATATGAAGGCACTATACAATTTACTCGGACTCGGTAGCTCAATTGGTAGAGCAAGAGCACGAAACGCTGACGATGCCGGTTCAAGTCCTGCCCGAGTCGAAATTTTTTTTCAATTTATTTTCGCTTGTTAAACTAAAATTTACTACCTAGACCTATAACACTGTAGGATATATAAAAAAGAATCAGCTTCTGTTGTAAAGACAAAGGCCAAAATGCCCAAAAACAATTTCTCCTTTTTTAAAATCCCAAAACATGATATAAAATTTTTTCATTTTCTTGGTAATAAATATGAGAATTAAATAAGTTATATACTTGACAGCGTTATTTAATTTTAGTTTATGTTTATCGTAAAATTTAGTTCTAAAGTTTCATAGCCTTTGCTACGAGGAGCTCACAGGCGTAAAAAATGTACTGTTTAGTTTAATTTTTTTGTAATATTTTAATTTATCCAATATAAAAATGATACCTGATGCCTGATAAACGTTGCTAACTCACCTAATATTAAGGTATTTAAGAATGTATCATACAATATAATACCTCCTTAAAAGAATGTTATTCTATCCTACATCATTAATTATTATGTTAAAATATATTGTGAGTGAGTTTAAATAAGTCCACTTACCTCGCGTTGATACGGGATCATAGCAATTTTCAGGCGATTTGTAAATAACTGAAGAACTTAATCGTTCACCCTGTTTTTCACTGTTGCTCGTGAAATAATTATAATTCTCGAGAGTCGGCGTAATTATGTACTCATTTTTCCTTGCAGTTCCTCCTGATTCAGTTAGTTCAGGGCCTTTTTTCAAACCCTGTTTACTGTTCGAGTTTGAAACCTCGTCTCTTGATCCGTTAAGCAATATCTTCTTTATCGTCTTAACCTCTTCAACTTCACTTATCTTTTGCTCTGTCACAGAATGTTTTGTGATTTCTTCTTTTGAATAAAAATCAGTGTCGCTCTTCGAATTAAACATTCTCCCGTTAGAATTACCATTAGTTTGGCTTTCCGATCGAAGATATTTTGCAAAAGGGTCACTATTTCTCTTCGTTTCAAATGGATTCTTTCCGTTTTCATTCTCCTCTTGTTGCTTCACTTTATCATAATCTTGATCACTGTAATTTGATTCTACTATTATCGGCACTTCATTGACAGATTTTGTTTCAAAAGGTGAGTGTGGTTTTTTCATGTCCGTATTGTGATTTGTTTTCACGTCATACAAATTTATTGAATCTTTGGATTTATTAATTGAGTTATTCCTATCTAATGACGAAAAGGTAGACCGACCATTTGGTACTGGTAACCTGGAAGCACTTGTGTAATTTGAAGGTAAAGTCGTATAAAATGGGTTTGTTGGATGAATCTTGGGCGGTTCGCACGCTGCAACATGGGAGGCTGAGGTGACTGAAGTTGGCGGAGAGCTTAGTGACCTCAGAGGCGGCGCTGTGGGCCTGTGTTGTGGCGGAGGGCGAATCGTCGCATATACCGGAGCTTGTAATACCGCTTTACCACCATCAGCTAATAATTGTGACGGTCCTGAAATCAAACGTTGTTTTGAGAGCACGGATTGCTGAGGATACTGGTTTAAATTCTGCCAGAGTCATAACTTTTTTTATCGAAATAGATTTTTAACATTTCATAGGTTTTAAATATATTGACTTTACAACAAAAGTTTGTTTTAAGTATGTAATATATGGTCGTCAGGATACAGTAATGTTCTGAAGCGTCTCAAAAGTATGTGTGATGTACATCACACTTACTTACATTACTTTTGAGACGATAATGGAACACGTAAGAATATAAGTGCATTTATATTTTATTCTATTACTCTGAAAGCGTAGAGAGAATTCAGCGGACAAATCGAGAAAAGTATGAAATTTTTAAAGAAAGTATGAATAATGTTAGTTTTATATTTTGTATTCATAAATAATAGATAGTTTTAAAGACGTTATCATTTTTTTTTGAGGTAGTTCAAACTGTTAATGGGTGTCATGAATTTTAAAAGAGAAATCTGATTAAACTTACTTTTCAACTCCGTAGCCTTTCCAATGGATCTCCTTCGAGGTGACATCTCTTTGTCTCTGGCGACAAGAAAACTTAGATTAGAACTTGAGGAAGGAGCGGCTTGGGGGAAACAACTTTTCTATAATGACTAAGCTATTCTGTAAGACCCTAATACATAAGTGAAGGCCTACTTTTTGTACGAGCGGACGTGGACAAACCCCAATTACATTTATATAGAACGTATTCTAGAAAAAGTACAATGCTGAATGTAATACAAAGTACGTTTGTGTTTTTGTTTCAAACGTCACAATTGTAAGATTAAATTTAATTTAAGAATTCTATATTTGGTTATACCTACTACTATTAGATACTACTATTCTACATTTTAGTATTTACCTCCAAGCTCTTTGTAAAGTGCAACTCAACTACTCAACTATTTCTCGATTTTTCCTAGGATAGTTATTTTAGGCATCACAATTGGTTTTTTAAACCTCATCTTTATAAATATTTTTGGGTATCTTGAACCGTTTTCACAAAGTACGCGTTCGAATCCTACAAGGATGAATAATTTTACCCTTTGTTTCAAATTTTCCGCTGTTTCTGCGCTCTCATTAGTCGTATTGTGATGTTTTATAATAAATGCTCTAACCAACACAAAAATAATTTTTCAATTCCCACCAGTGGTTCCTGAGACGTTCAAACAAACTTAATTCAGCTTAATATATTAGTATTAGGTCATGCAATATAGTTACCGTGGAGATCACTTAAATCGCTTTGTAAATTTACTTAGTATAATTCTGTCTGATGTCCATTTCTCGTGTGAAATGGCGAAGAGTGATCGGATTAGAGTCAATCCTGTCGGGGCTTATACGTCTGTGGAATACGTTATGTGCAACAAGAGCCGATTTCTAGGCAAGATACAAACGATGTTGTACTAAGTAATTTTATACGTACAATACATTATACCTCGTGTTGTATGCGACGTTTAAAACGAGTAAACGATTTGTATAAAACATTTGATTCTCATACAAAAGTTAAACTGGATTCATATTAACAAATGGATATATTGTATTTTCATATGTTGATTAGAGTCAATAATACATATACATATCTTAAATTGTTTGAGTTCAAATTCTCAAGTCTCGTCTCAGTCAGTTGTAAGCGCAAGAGTTTTTAGGCTTTAATAGTTTCGGTGGGGCAGTAGATAGAAATCGAATTAACTGCTTTAAAATCTAACTAAAATAAATAACATCGATCAATGAAACAGTCTCTAATATTTTACGCGAAAACAGGATTTTATGTAACGAAATTAAGATCGAATACTATCTGTACTATTTTACACTTTGAGTTAAAACATATAAGTTAAACTTATTTAAAAATGTTTTTTAACTTCGGCCCGACGCAAATATATCGCGTTTAAACCGTTACTGTTTTATTTAGAAATTATGATCCTCTTAATATTCCTGCAGTAATGGCAAAGAAATGGTATGTATTGTATTTTTGAGTACATTTTAATAACTTTTTCAACGTAACCATTATGACTTTTCAATCTCTTTCTATTGATTTATGCAAGACATCGCTTTCACAAACAAACTCACTCTGATCTACTCTACGTATAAAATAAGATAATCCATGCAGAAAAGTATACCCAGAGGTGGCATTCAGTGCATTTTGTTGTGAATACATTATTTTATTTAAACTCAATACACTCGCATACAATACGACTTGAGTAAGTTGCTTATTCTATCGAGCTGTTCGGGAATGTATTCTATAGCGCTACAAATTTGAAACTAAAGACATTCATTTTTGTTTGTTAACGTGCATTTTCCTTATTTTTATTAGAATGAATCTTACTTGTTATTGTGTTCTAAGTGTTGTGGATTAAAAAAGTAATTATTATAAAGAGCTATATACGGGCACTATTTGAGGGGCTCCGTAGAGTAAACTTAGCAATTTATGCCTAATAATCAACTGATTCGATCTTGACCAGATAACACTTGTTTCTGATCAATTTATATTTTTTTCTACGTTCGATTTAAAAGATTTATTCTTATTACTTGGTTCTTTTAATAACATAGTAAAATGTTCAATAACCGCGTCTAGTTATAACGTCATTTTAGTAGAGCGAAGTATTGTAATTCAAAACAAAATTTGATTTTTTTTGTAATTAAATTATAAATTTAAAAGAAAACCTTACTTCTTACAATCTACAATGCGATTCTTAAATTAATTAATGTAATTTTTTTTTCGGGTTTTTAACTGTTTTTTCTTTTTTTGGGCGTTAATTTCTCAAATGTATAAGGTACTTGTAAGCAAGAGGCATTGCCTGTCATCTTTAAATATATTTTTAACATAGACAGGATAGGGTTAATTTTTGGAGGATACCCATATAACATCTAAGCAAGATTTCTTTTTGGCTTTTATATTATTTAATTACATCCCAAAAGATATAATAATACTCACTCATTTAATCCAAGTCTTAAGCAGGGCCCAGCTGATCGGAGCATCGCATGTGCCTCGGAGTTAGTCATGCTTTTGGTCGAGTGCCCATTGATTGAAGTGATTACATCACCCTCACGAACACCGCTTAGGGATGCTTTTCGACCCGGGTTCACCTGGAATTTAGGCGCGCCTTTAAATACATTTACAATTAGCATTATCCTCAATACTACGATTTTATAGAGGTTTATCTTTATTTTTATTGATTCATATGAAATTTCGTGGTAGTAAAAGGTTAAAGTTTGCGTTTCCTAAAAAATATCTGGATATACCCATGCTTTTTATATTACATTTATTTAAAACAACTATAACTTTTCTATAATTAACGACAGCGTCATCTGGTGTTAATCGAATGCAACAATGCCTTGATAGATTAATTTTTATTTATCTATGAGGACTGGAAACTGACCTTTTTATAATTTATTAATTATAATAACATTCTTACGTTAACCTTTTTTTCATTTTTGTTAATAATAGCTACCTTATATTTAAACTACAAATATTCGTAAAAAAACGTTTTCCTAATCTATACTAATATATAAAGCGAAAAAGTTTGTTTGTTTGTTTGAACTTTTGAATTGCTTCCTAGTTCAGTATGGTTTAAGATTCCCAAAAATATGTATGAAATAATAATTCCTCTTTCAATTATCTAAATAAAAATTCCGCGACGCCATATGTCTATCTTTTAAGATTAACTATTAAGAACGACGACAAGGTACGCAACCGACGTCACGGGTACCAGCTTAAGTTTATAAAAATAAAAGGGGTTTGCAAAAATAATTGTGATGCCCAAAATAACTGAAGTTCTACGTGGACGAAAGTAGCAATAGCAGCTAGAAATAGAATATACTAAGTTTTACTTGAACTTGAGTTTTACTTCAAGTAAAACTTAACTCTCGCGTCAAACATTTAAAAAGAACGAACCGCACTCGGCTCCCTCCTCCGCGCCGCTGGTGAACAAAACTTCAACATCCTTCCCGGAAGTTCCCGACCTACCCCACCTTAATCACACCAACACACCACTCCAATATATTAACCGCCACACACACAAATCGCACACCAATAACTCCGTAATAATTACATAATTCCCCACGAAAGTTTAGCAGCAGATCCGCCCGTCGCACGAAAGTCGGGGGTTGGACTAAGTTATAAGGTAAACGTTGGAGCCAATTTCATCGAAACATTATATGGACATTATTCGAATATGCATGCGCCGTGAGGACGGAGCTATTGTTGGGGGTCGTCACTCGCTTCGAATATTAATCTTGTCGAAGGCGTTAGTTCGTACATGCCGCGCCATAGGAACTATTTAATAAGCCAAAACTTTCATATTGTATGTAAATAATATGGGATTAAAATGGAAATTTAGCGCTCGTGTGCACGATAAAACTGAAATAATCTCTCGGTTTTATGTAATGTGTTGTGCTCATTGCAATGACGACCTCGTGCGTGCCACGAGCACTTTAGCGTTAAGTGATAACCGCATAAACATTTACGTATATGCCTTAATTTTCCTACATTTGTACGTGCTCGCTTTTCGGTACGCATGTGAAATTTACTTTGCACAAACGATATAAAATTAACAAACGCTAGGCTAATGACGACACAATCATTTGAAATCTACCATAGATTTCCATTTGAGTGTGTCCCATAATTTGATACTGTATTACGTTATACTGATCGTCTTTATTGCTAAAACATTTTTTTCAGTGGCAGTCCTCAAATATAAATCGTAATAATTAAAATTAATTTTTGCATCAATATGACATCAGCTATGAAGTGTAGACCAAAAGTTATAGTAGCAATGAATATCGAAAGGCAGCAGGGAGGGAATATAAAATCGAAGTTTTAAAAGGCGATAGCTTTAAGAGCTTGTAAGATAGTGTACATAAGTGCAGCTAAACGCTCTCCGAAAGCTACGTTCGCACTTATTGAAAGTTTTATGATAATCACATCGTCAGTCGTTTTTATCACAAGTATTTATAGGGAAAAATGTTCGGAACTGTTAAATAAAATCAAAATTTCCGTGTTCTCAATGTGTCAGTGAATGTCAAATGTCAAATTTTAAATACTGTCTCTACAGACAGTATTTAAAATTTGACATTTACGCAAGTAGTACACATTTAAATAAAACACTTTAACGGTTTAAAATGCTATATATCTTAGTTAAACTTGTTTAAAAGTTTTGTTATTTTTAACTACGGCCCGAAGTTTAACTAAAATATATCGCGTAATAGTTAGTGTTTTATTTTATTTTATGTCAATTGTCAATGTCAACTGTAAATAACTTTTGCTCTTAATGATTTTACTTATTGTTGTACATTGTATATGTACTAGTTATTATTTCACAATTAAAACCTTAATTATTAACCCGTTTATTTTAACAATGGCGAATGAAGTGAAAATACACAATTCTGACGATAAATTGTTATTATGTTAAGTTGGTTTTATTAAAGTGTTAATTTTTGTATCCTCCATGTCATATTTTTGTGTTACAAAAAAAAAACAACTTTTTAAAAATTGTCTTTGTTTTATAGTACATACTTGCATAGTCAATCAGATTAAGGAGAACTGCACGTTCATTATAAAAATAGAATGTTTATCTCAAAGAAGTTGAAAGTAGCAAAAGTTCAGAGGAACTTGCAACATTTGTCCTCATTTTAATTAAAAGTGTGACTTGTTAGCGATCTTAAATCAACTCACGAGTTTGTGTCAAGATGCTAGAAATGAGAAATCTGTAGTGAAAATTGCATGCAGAGTGTTTTTAAGTTTAAATGTATAATTAAGGTCAGGTTAATCGTGAAAAATTCAGAAGCAACCGCACGCGACTCTATTTTTTAATATCACTTTGAAATGATATATGCTCACTAAGGTATCTTTTAGCGCCATATTTGGGCGTAAATTGTGAAAGTAAAAGGAAATATTACATAAATACATTATACGATTGTATTATAATGTTTTACGTCTATTAACCGAGACACTATCATAGACAACGATTACAACATATTTTTAATTTTACAATTTATAATTTTTCTAAAACATGTTAGACTTCATCTGGAAATCTGAATATTAAGTGGGTGGTAGGAATGTGAGAATTCCGTCGGGGTCACGAACATCCACAGATGAAAAAGCCGTGAAGCCTAATCGCGTTTCGGTTTCAGTCTGTGGTTTTCTTATATCCAAAGCCAAAAGGTGCGGAATATTACCTACCATCACTTGGTTAAATTATCACTGCAATGTATATGATACAATTTTGTTGATTTCTATATAAAGTTTCAAATCAATTTCGGGAAATGGTTAGTTCAAAACCGTGTTAAACAAAAAGACTTATCAAAAAACGAATTATTAATATAAGCGTAATATATCAGTTGAAATCAAAATCAGAATAATGCTTTTCAAAGAAAGGTTTCTATCAATGTTACAAAGATGTATTTCGCTGTGACTGAAATCTAAACCAGAATAACAAGACACCTCTGAGATTTGTGGGAGCATAGTAAATCAGAAGCGGGAATAGTAAGGTAGAGATTATAGTAGATCTAAGCTTCCTGGTCACTGATACTGGAGGAATTCCACGCACGTATGACCCGTGACTCGGAGACGTGTGCCGTTTCCAAGATATCCATGTATCTGCTTATATCTACGAAACCCAATTTATTGCGGTAAATTGTTATTAAATAATGCTCGTGTTGGTACAAATGCTAATGGATTAGGAATAAATTTCTCGTGTTTAAGTCTACTACCAAAATGCACAAACAACGAACTATGTATTTAAAAACATGTGCTTTCGAGAGTGCTTTTTCTATGTTGTAATTGCTACTTCGCCGCAACACTCTCACCTCACATCACTCCTACTCAAACTCCCACTCCCACTCCCAAAAAGCCAAAGAAGAAAGTTTCTAGCTTCAAAAACTACGAATTTCCATACAAACATTCATCCCTCTTTTAACTCCTTACAACCCCTTTTTCGCAATAAAAAGTGGCCTATGTTCTTTCTCAGGGTCTAGACCATCATGTATACCAAATTTTATTCAAATCCGTTAGTTTTGGCGTTGAAGAGTAACAGACAGACAGACAGAGTTACTTTCGCATTTATAATATTAGAATTGATTCTCACAAACCCGCGGCTGGCCAATTTTAATAATTACAAATTTTTAATGAAACGCTTGTAATAATACCTATTGTAATCATCTGTGAGATCATAAATATGTCCTTGGTAGTAAATATTGAAACAGAAGATGGCCGCACAATATTTGCAAAAGTAAGCTATAACTTGCGTTTTAACGGGTGGCGTACCTTCTTCAATTTAATAAAGGAGGGTTGGATTGTGGCCAAGGACAATCCCGTATTTGGACGATTTTATTGCTTTTATTGCCATTAAAGGCTTTTAACAGGCGACGACACAGAAGCGGAAACTGTTCTAATTATTTGTCATGTAATTAAGTAGAAATAGAGAAGTTTATCATTTCGTTACCCTATTGCGCAATCGAATATGTATATTGTAAAACTGAAAATAAAGGGCACTAAAAAGTTTTGTTTTTTTAATTTATAATCGTAAAAGATAGTACCCGAAGTCTGTTTACAAAGAACAATAACTGACTAGCCAACTTCAATACAAAAAAAACGTACTTGGCTATGGGCTTTGTCCTAAAACGAATGGAGATCTGAGTGCCAAGTTCTTTGCAATCCAAGTTTGTACTTATAGAAACAAATTAATATTAACAAATGATAAGTAACTCTACTTCTTTGCTTTATTAGATATAAGTACAATTATTACTGTTCTTTGCAACATGGCTTGACCCACTGCTGCTTATCCAGATTATAGATAAGACGAAAATTTAAAAAAATATATGTTTTTTTAGTATCGAAATATATAAACGAAATACACCAACACTAGATGATTTTTTGTTGATAAAACGCCTTTAACGGTTTTAAACTTTAATAAACTGTTCGTTAACATAAATTGCCGTTGTTTAAATAAATTTCAAATAAGTAAACTAATATACTTCACGTTATAACTGTTAAAAGTATTTTTGCTCTAATGTTTTTCTTTTGTAACAGATACAAAATACACGACTTGTTAATTATTAGTATAACCGTCTTCAATCTTTTAATACATAAGTAACAAGAATACCTAAACTAGACATATGAGTCTTAAAAAAAACCAGGATCGTATGTTTGCTTGCTTAAGGACGTTAGATATAGTAAAAGTCACCGTAGTGTAAAACGTAAGTTGTAACAAGGCGTCCATATATCACAGCGAAGCGCAGGAAAAATGCAGATTTAAATCAAGCTCGGAAAGGCACATACAATAAATTCCTGCATTTACACCTCAATGTCAGCTGTCGAGAGGAACGGTGCAGCCATTTGCAGTGAGCAAGCAAAGACGCCGGGGGGCAATTCTAATGCATACGTTTGTCGAGTTTTGTCACTGGTACCTAACATCAGTCGCGGAAAACATCGCAAATGAGTTATTTACAATTTAAAAATCCACTCTATATAATCACTACGAAGCTAAAAATGTCGACGTAATATCTCGGTGTAAATAATATATCATTTTTAGAGAATTGCCCCCCAATGTAGCTAGCGACTGAGTAATTTCCATTCAACATGTACTTTTCCACCCTCCCGCGACCACTCTAAGTATAAAGGAACTTTAAACAGTCAGACCAAAGCTTGCAGGTAAAAGACGTTGTGATGTGAACGACACTTATTTTTCCGTGTTACAGTGTTAATTGTTGAACTGAATTTATGAGTAGGCACTTCTGCTTGTATATTTGAAACTAGATAAAATAGACATATCAAAGATACTAATAACATGAATTTCTGAAGTTCTTCTTGGAAATACTTGGGTATATGAGTAACAAATATACATCGTCACGGCGCGATAATAATACCAAGATACTTGTAGACTCGTAGACCTCCGTAAGTTGTGTTTGATAAGAATACTTTCCAAATTTCCAAAATATGTTAGTCGTTAGTTAACATAATATAAGAGCGAGTATACATTATTTGATAAATGTCTAAAACCAAATATATAATTAGATGCTAAATTTAACCATAACCTGTTTTACATTTAAATAAACCAGTTTTAACGGTTTAAAACGCGAAATGTACTAGTTTACAGCGACCTGCTGGAAAGCATCCGAAACGTCGAGCTGTAGTTAAAATAAATTGTAAATAACTAACACATTTTGCGTTTTAAACCGTTAAAAGTATTTTATTTAAATGTGTATTAATAGCGTTAACTACAGACGATGTTATCTATATTTTAATAACTTATAGAAATGCACCATTGTTAAAAAGAATAACCATAATGTTATTTTGTGAGAGACGTTAGTGATTTTTAGTGAGTACAGTGTCACGAAAAAGATTGATCACTGCGTTCTGCAAACAATTTCATTCATTTTACTCACATCAGCGCTTCGTCCCATTGACTCACTGAAACTCTGAAATGAAATAACCCAATTTGAGAAATGACAACCGCAGATTCGTTTATTTTCGGATTAGCTAAGTACACACTTTACTTAACGAGGTCATATTGGATCGTATTAAGGGAAATACTAATATAGCGATAGAAATATCTCGATACAAGAAAAATTTCTGAGAATCTATCATTAATCAATCGGTTTTCGGGATAGAATTATAAGATCGAAATTATACTTTATTTGTTAAGCAAATTGAATTTTCTATTAAGTTGGGAAGTTGCGACAGACGTGTGAAGTGAAGTGTCTCATAAGAATAATCAAATTTTCCCCAGTTTGAGCAATCATGTAATAATTGTATGAAACACTAGGTGTTTTACTGTTATATTCGGATGATCCTGAGATTATACTATTAGTAATAAAAAATAAATAAAAATATGTTTTTTGTCTCTTTCTTAATAATACAATTATAACTAGTTAAGCTATTCTATGACTATTTATTAGTTCTTGTTATTTTTTTAATTGTTTTTTTTTATTTACCAGGGGCGTTTTTGCCCTATCTTCATTTTTGAAAACTTTAATATTCTTCACGTGTTATTGGACATGATGGCATTATTAAAAAATACTATTTTTTTTTATAGCAAAAACTACGATACTGGCGAGATTTGAACACCCATCCACCACGTTACATGCTTTTGCTCCAATCAATGGAGCTGTCGTGTAGCTCGCTGCTGTAGATGCCGGTTCAAGTCCCGGCGGTGTCGTAAATTTTCTTCAATTTAAAATCGATTTTTAATCTTTATTGTTCCGGTTTTCGGTTACTTACGTTTACGTACCTAAGCAAAACAATGCCTTTCTTTTTCCAGTTTATCCTGGAAAATTCAACGTGTATAAATTGCTATAACTACATTAAGTTGGCGCCGCTCCCTGAAAGAAAAGCCGCAACAAACGAATGCAAACAGATTTGTACGTCTAATGTAGAAAACAAAGCAATACACTTAACAAATTACACAAACCCATGACTTGCTTAACAATGCTTAATTTTTATTTCCCTGTCGCTGCGCAACTTCTTGCAAAAAAAGAAAGGCTTTAGAGTCGTTATGACGGGCTGTAAATCATTTAATTAAACTTCTGCGTAAAGACGATTCAATGGAGCTGAAATATTGCTGCCTTATTGTATTTTTAATTACTTTTTAATGGACTCGTTGGTCTAACGGTAGCAATGTATAATATAATCAATGGGGCGTGGGTTCGATCCCCATCGGGTTCCAGATTTTTCTAATCAATTTATATTTTTTCAAAAACAAATTGGACTTCGTCTAGATCTACATATTTAATTACTGGTAGGAATTTTGCAATTCCGCAATTCCACGTTTCACGTACCACCCTTCACGCATGAAAAAGTTTAATCGCGTTTCGGTTTCAGTTTGGACTTCCAAATATCCAAAACCAAAATAAGTCGACAGCGCATTTTGGTTTTGGATATTTGGAAGCATTTCACCTTCCATTAAGTTAACCCCATGCTTGCTTATCCTCCTTCATCATTGAAAAAAGTTTTATAAAATATGTATGTTACTCTATACATGTGTGTATAGCTTATAACGAATAATAAAAACAAAAGCTTACATAGCTTGAAGATTGATAAGATCACGGTTGGTCATTAAAAATGCTATAGGTAAACCTTGGTCCAGAGAAGTAACGGACATTTTGTGTATTTTTAACCGTTTTTCTTTGAAGGCAGTACCGACCTGCCTTTTTGTGTTAACATTTCAACATTCTTATAACATGTAATTAAGTAAGATTCGGAATAATTACGCTTATAATATTTTAATTTATAGAGAAGTAGCTAAGTAGTTTATGATTATCTAATTACCTGAGCTTACTTACTAAAAAGCTTACCCTGGATATCCGGAGAGGCTGGTTTTGATCGAGACCACCGTGCATCCGGAAACCCCACGGCGCGCCGCCTGTCAGCTCCACCCCCCTTGATGTCATCGCTAAAATTTCAGTCCATCGCTTTATTCATGCACCAACAGTTTAATGTCTCAGCGCCACACTCAAACTTGCGAACTTCATAATTGTAAACTGAGGTATGAGGGAAGACTTTGCACACAACAACCCATCTTCGCAGTTATCTGGAACAAGTGAAATATAAATAATTATAGAACCATCCCCACGGTGTCAACCTATAGTCAAATATATAAAAAAAATGTAACAAATGGTTTTCTAGCATGATTATGGAAAAATTTGACAGTTTATAAGAAGCAACAATACTGCATTTTTGATTTCGACTAAAATTTTACAGTTATGGTAGTTATAGAAGCCATGTGAATAAAAGGGGTTTTTAATTCCAAAAAAAAATCCTTTTTTTTTAATTTAACAAATCTAAACCTTTAGATTTGTTAAATTGACGCTGAGCTGTAAAACCTTGCTAGAAATCTATATTGCTCAGCACGCCACATTGTTTACAAGAGCTACACCAAAAATTAATTAAAAATTACTTTATATCCGACTAGCTGTGTCAGCGACTTCGTCCGTGTGGAATAGTTATTACGAGCGTCAATATTTGCTTTTGCAAACCTCCTACTCATTCGTATAACTAGCTGTTACCCACGACGTCGTTCGCGTCCCGTCGTATGCGTCCTGTCATTCTTATAAGGTATTCTTAAAAGATAGACATACTGTCGCACACATTTCACATTCTTCGCTTTCGCACAAACAATCTCTTCAGCTTTATAATATTATTATGTATTGCATGGCTGAACATAATTTGTGCTTTAAGCTTTCGCTACCGAACAGTCAAAAATATGCCACTAATAATAATGACTCATCATGAAAACTGAAGTATTTACTAATATCTTCTTCCTGTGGTTAATTTTATGAAGCTGGGCACCTGAAAATAGTTCAAATCTCAAGGTGTCGACGTAAGCAGATATCAATCAATCCAGTAACTCAGGGCATAGTTAATAACAAGTATATTTAGGTTTACGACAATTTAAATACCCCATAAAGATCAGCCATAAAAACAAAGACTGAAAATATAGTTACACCCACTGTTGTTTCGGTAAGTTGAACATATGGTTTGCTCAAAACGAACTATTGTCTTCTAATAATTATATAAATATAATTTCTGTTATTTAAATATCGCTTAATATCAGTTATTATTGCTATATAATGTGATACTATCATGTGTGCAACTGTTAGGGATGCGTTTAAACTTTATTATTTCTTACTACTGTACATTACTCTTTGTACAGTATTCAGGTACTGTATAGTAACCTGTTTAAAAATCGAAAATAAATTTCGACTCGGGCAGGACTTGAACCGGCATCCCCGTCTTGCTCCTCCCCGGTCAAAAATTGTTCAATCTACATATTTTAGATTTTTAAATTGTGTAGTGCGTTCATGTGCAATAACATGTAAAAAAGAATAATAAAGTTTTCAAACTTGTTTGTTTCCTTTTTGCTATAATAAAAAAAATGTTTATTGTCATTAATTTGTTTCGATATGTTCGAAAATATAAACATGTAATTAATGCCAATTTCATTTGAGTTCATAATTCTTTATTGAAGCCTGTTTTTGAGAGTCTCTCTTTCTTTGATACGAGACGAAGAAACCTATTTTTTGAACGACAAAGTTTTTCTTGTGAAATACAATATTTTCTCTCCTATCTTTTCAATGTAAAAGGCTTCCTAGAGAACTTATCAGTAGTGAACCCGTACAAATGAGGGAACATTGATTGAGTTTTGAACTTCAATTTCCTTTTACAAACGTCTTTGTGCTGCCTTGATGACACGATTTCACGATATAATTTAATTCATTATTGTTCAAGGTGTTTACGTGGTATTCAAGATTAAATAAGATAGAGATATAAAATGGTTATGACACTAATTTATGTTAAATACTGTCTATAGTTTACGCGAGTAGTACACATTTAAATAAAACACTTTAACGGTTTAAAATGCGATATATTATATTACATTTATATTTTCTCCCCGTGACGGCTGCTGCAAGGCATCCGAAACGACGGGACGAAGTTAAAAATAATTTTCAAATAAGTTTAACTAATATATCTCGTTTTAAACCGTTAAAGTGTTTTATTTAAACTAATTTATGATTTTTATGATGAGAGAGGAGGACACAAAAGCATGAACCCGATCACTTAATGGAAGGTGAATTACCCAAGCCATATAACATCTAAACACGATGCGCTATCGACCTATTTTAGCTTTAGGTATTCGGAAATCGGACTGAAACTGAAATGCGAAGGGGGGACACCACCCATTTAATATTCAGTTTTCTTTACTAAATTCCAATATGTTTCATAAAAATTATATATTTATTAAAAACATGTTGGAACTTGTTGTAATCGAACCAACGTAGATTATTAGGCATAAAAAGTTACGATTACACCAACGCGGAAGTTAACATATAATGTAAAGTAATACATTTGAAAATAATCTATAGAAATAAGAAAGTAACAATAGGCAACGTTAAGAGAGACCTAATTTTAACAAATCTTACTCCCACAGATACCAAAATATTTATTTGTGTTAATACATGATTGTAAAGAGGTGAATCGTAATGTTATATTAGTTGAAGCGAGGCCATTTAACTCTATTATTTTCGGCCTATGATCTCAACCACCATCCGAATTGAAGGTTGTGTACATGAAATGTGTACGCAAAGATATATTTACAATGCTGATTAAGAATTCACTACAACGAAACCATTTGACAGAAGATAGAATGGACCGAATATAAGATTTTATATAAATAAACTAAAATTAAATATCGCTGACACGGTAGCTCTATTCCTTAAAGGACACGGAACGCTGTCGATGCCAGTTCACCCTCCGTGTCGTAATTTTTTTTCAAACGAAAATCGATTTTTAATTCATATATCCATTATAGCAATAAATATGCATAATAAATGTATAATTTACTAAAACTATATTCTGTATCTTAGGTTAATTTCTGTTATGGATTATTTCTCAGTGCTTTAATAGATTTTATCGTTAGGATTTAAATCTTCAACAAGCATATTATATTCGGAACTCATGCCATCGTATCTATTTTATTAGATTCCTTTTTTTAATTTACGCTATTTTACCTATTTCATACTACTTAATTTTCAAATAAGTTCGAAAAGAGTTAATAAAAAAACAAGTAAGTACCTTAAGCTCTGTCGTGTTGTAATGAAATGATATTTCGTACCCAAATTCACGAATACATCGAATTAATAAAATAACACTGGTAATGGGCAATGATAAATATAATGCAGATTGAAACACAAGATTTGTTTCACCCGCAGGCGAACAACGCGCACCCGATAATGCAACCGCACATCAGACTGTCCATCTGTTAGTGTAATCCCAAATGTTCTTTTATTTATTCATCAACGAGGAATAAAATCAGATAAAAATACATTTTAACTGTACACAGATTTACAATGTATGACTTAACATGTACACGTATATGTACGAAGTCTTTAGCCGCTGTAGAGGCTTATTAAAGTAAATGTAATCTGAATAAAACTCTTTTAACGGTTTGAAACGTGATTAAAAAAGTTAACTTTTTCTTTACATATTAGCTGTAGTTTACGCGAGTAGTACACAGTTAAATAAAACACATAAAACGTTTAAAACTGGAAATACATTATTATTTATAATTTACTTTAACTATGGCCGAACTTTGTCGGTTATATTATATTTCCCGTTCTAAACCGTTAGTTGTGTAATATTTAAATGTTATTATTAAGTAATTGTGGCTACGGCCTGTTGTTTCGTTAAACTAATTAACTAATATATTTCGCATTTTAAAGCGTTAAAAGTGTTTTATTTAAATACTTGCCTAAACTGACCTTGTTTGAGAGTATGTTATTTTATAAAATAAGTTTTAGTATGATACACATTGTCAATTAAACCACATATTGGTGCTGTATAACAAGTGACGAAATTATGTGTAAATCTTTTAGAGAATTGTCCCCCTAGACATAAACAAATAGCCATCAGTAGGTAATAAAGCATCTGACGGCACACTAGTAAGCTACAACTACTAATCGATACTACTAACTACTTCGGAGCGATGTCTTTACATGAAATATTCCGTTTAATTAATAGTGCACGTTTAAAAGATATTTAAACTTCTACTTTGTAAAAAAATATTAATTGCTTCTATCCAAGAGATGAATTAACATAGTTCGAATCTAAAATATAGGTAACTTTGCACCTGTACATTGATTAATGTATACGCCAAGTCTGCAATATATCTGTTCGGCTGGGTAGACCAATGTCTACCTGGCTACAATATGGTTTTAGAATTATTAAACGTATTCATTATTTTGAAACTAAACTAAACTAAACTCCACGAAGAAGATAATAAGAAAGAAACATTTATTACAGACGAGAACAGACTAGCATGAGGTCTCTTGGTAGAAGGTGAAATACATCATATAACATCTAAATATATAAATAATAATAAAAATAAATCCAGACTGAATCCGAAACGCGAATAAACTTTATATATTTATATATTGTTATAAGCATATTGCTACAATTAGTGAACTAAACTATCGTCAATATATAATTATTCTGTATTACTAAAACGAATAGTACAACCTATGTAGCTAAATGATTAAAGGTGTTGCCTTGCGTTTACGCCCAAGAGGTTCTGGATTCGAATCCCGAAAAAACAACAAATAAAAAAAAATGTGAAGAGCCACGGTCATCGTTTAGTATATCATTGTTTTTCGGGCTGTTCGTGATGGCGAAACGTCGAGAACTTCTTCTCCTTTACGTCAGCCGAACAGCTAGAAAAACAATGATTTACTGAATTAAATTGTTTCGGTCGGGCTGAGCACTGAAGTCTGATCAACTACTTACCTGTAAATAAACCCAATCATGGAAACGGACTCAGAAATGTGGTTGTCCCATAAGGGAATAACATAAAAAAAAACAATAGAGCGACTTTTTCTAATAAATGCGACTCATATAC